CACTCAAATTCTGAAATTCATGAGGCGGAATCTCAGTTCATCCCCAGGATAGACCTTGGCACATAGTACCTAGTATTTGTGAAGCTGATGGGTGAGGTTCTCTCTCCTGTCTGGACCCAAGACACTCACAGGGGCTTGAAGGAGATGGGGAGAACAACCAAGCGTCCATCACATTCTTATTAAGGAGTCTCAGACTCTGCTGTGGAACCCATAGTAGAGAGAAAGCTGCCCCCCTCGCCCCACCGGCCTGTTACATTGATCCATGCCCCTAACCAACAGGAAGGTGCACAAAAGCAAATACTGCCCAACTTCAAATCTCTTAAGCAGGCTGCTCTAGAGTCTAGGGTCAATAATTTCTCCTGGGAGTATCACAGAGATGAGGATACTAGAACTGGGCCTTGAGGGATGAATAGGAGTTCATAGCTAGAAAAGTGAAGACAAGCACATCCTACATAAGGGAAAAGCAAGTGCAGTGACATAGGACATGAAAATACATGGAGTGTTTATTGAATGGCAAACAGGCAGCATCTGACCTCAGGCAAAGTGTCCACTACCAAAAAGAGTTTAGGTCTTCATTTCTTTCTTTTCTTTCTTTCTTTTTTTTCTTTTAAGAGTTACACCTGCCATCCTGAGCAGGGAGAATTGGCATATCCATGTTGGATTCTCTCTACCCAGCCCAGCTTGCTATGCATCCAGGCCACTGGGTCTCCATCTCTTGTCCAGCTGGCCAAAGATAGGCTCTCCTTTCCCTGACACAGCTCCCACCCCCACGCCTAGCCCATTCTCAAACCCACAGATTCCAAGAACTAGAAGGGGCCTCAGAGGCCCAGAGTGAGGCAGGCTTGCCCAAGGTCAGACAGCAAAGTTCAAACTCTGGTCTCTTCACAACCCCACACCAAGGACAATCCTCCCTTAGTGAATGGCCAGATGAAACCTGGTGAAGCCGCAGGGAGTTCCTAGGGTTTTATCTGCTGGGCCTGACAGGGGGCTCTGAACTCTGAACCATCCCCATTCCCACCCCTCTGCCGCAGCCCAAGAGAAACCCTCCAGAGGGCTATAAACCCTTTCCCCAAAGCTGGGCCTGAGTAAGACTCCATAGTCAGAAACTCATCCAATGTCATTCTTCTTTTTTGTGTGTGTGGTACTGGGGTTTGAACCTTGAGCCACTCCACCAGCCTTTTGTTGTGATGGGTTTTTTCCAGATAGGGTCTTGAGATCTATTTGCCCAGGCTGGCTTGGAACTGTGATCCAAGCCAACCCTGATTCTGCCTCCTAAGTAGCTAGGATTACAGACATGAGCCACCAGCGCCCGGCTCCAACACCGTTTTACTTTGGAGTTATGTCACTGCCATGCTGCAATATCACGTCCACAGAGGAAGAGACCTGTCTTATCCTCAAGTATCCCCGTCAGCGTGAACAAGGCTGACACTGCATAGTAAGGAATATGTCTTTTCTGAGTGCATAAAAGCCCAGGACCTTGGGCAACTTGCTTTCATCCTCTGAGAGGTCTTTTTTCTCACTTATATGTGGTGATAACTACTTACCTCCTAACACAAGAAAATACCTGGCCTGGGCCTAGCACCGTGCAGCCTTCCAGTTACTTATCTTCTCCTTCTCCTTCTCCTAGCCCTCCTTCCACACCCTGCTCACCTCCTCCAGAAAGCCTCCCTGATTACCTGCTAGGCCCCAGTCCTGGCACCAGTCCCAGAAACACTTCCTCCCCACACACTTGTCTAGAGTCCAGGTGATATTTCTGGAAAATATGAATTCCTGTTTGCTTTTGTCTTTTTAACTTCTTCCTCCCATCAGACAAAAGTGAAACTCCAGTTTCTATTGATCTGGTCAGTAACAGTCACCACCAGGAGAAAATCAGTTGTTTTCCAAATAGGGATCAGGATGAACTTAACTAGCACCCAAGTCCTCAGCATCAATGCAGAAACCTGCCGCCATCCAGGTTGTGCTCCACAGTTCACAAAGCACTTGTACATCTATTATCTAATTAGATCTCCAAACAACCCTATAGAGCAGTCAGGATTTATTCTCTCTGTTTTACAGATAAGGAAAGCAAGGTTTGGACAGGTGAATATCCTGCTGGTGTCTGTAGCCCTAGAGGGACAGCAGGGCTGTACTTATTACCTCTGATGCTAGTCCTCTACTCAGTCCGTAGAGGTCAGGTGAATAAAGCTTATAAACACAATAGTAGCAATCCCTAGCATTTCTATGGTGACTTCTCTTTCATATACTTTTCATATCATCTCTTTTGAGACCCCCTTTCTTCCCCCATGAGACAGTAATGGAATTTGTGGCCCACAGAGAAGGTTCTTGTCCAGTGTCACCAGGCTTGCTAGTAGCTGCACCAAAATTTAAACTCTCCCCACTCCATCAAGTTTCCCAGCCATTTCCCATCTGTGCAGTGAGTTGGATAAGATGATCTTCAAAGTCTTACTCCTGAGCCAGGCACCAGTGGCTCACGCCTGTAATCCTAGCTATTCAGGAGGATCAATGGTTTGAAGCCAGCCTGGGCAAGTAGTTCCTGAGACCCTATCTTGGAAAAACCGTTCACAGAAAAGGCTGATGGAGTGGCTCAAGGTGAAGGCCCTGAGTTCAAGCCCCATTACTGCAATAAATAAATAAATAAAATAAGTCTCACCCCTGACTGGGTCCTTGGGAGAGTCATGAAAATACTACAGTCTTCGGAGGTTATTCTGAGTTTAAATCTCAGTTGGTCAAATCAGTTACTCACTGCCCCTGAGCCTCAGCTTTTTCATCTGTAAATGGGATCTCAGGAGATAACAGATACAGGGCTCCTAATACCTTCAGACGAGATCGGGCACGTTCAGGGTGGTATGGCCGTAGACTCCTAATGCCTTCAGAATAATCAATCATTTTTAGTTCTCTTTTCTGCTAGAGTCTGTGCAAGGCAGTGGGTGCAATAGGGGAATCCTGGAGGACTTGAGCTCAAAATTGCTTTGCAACTCAGTCCCCCTTGCCCTTACAGTTAGGGTAGTCGGATGAGAAGAGTCAGGATCTACATCTCTTAGGTCTTTGGTTCAGAGACTGTAATGAAGGAGATAATGACCTTTCCAGCAAAGGCCCTCCTGACCTCCCAGGAGTCTTCTGGGTACCCTTCCTTCCCACCTTCCCCAGTCTCCCTCCTAAACATTCTCCCTGAAAGAGTTAAGTCTTTGGGCTTCCTCTTCCTGGCCAGCGGTGCCAGTGGAGATTAGACAGATCAGATTTATTTCTCTTAATAAACAGAAAAGAAATTGGGCCAGGCAGGTGACAAGGAAACAATTGGAATAATAGGGGCTGGAGCAAAAGGGAACAGGACTTCCCTCAGTCGTACCCGGGGCCACCTCCAGACCTGGGGAAACAAGAGCTGGGGGCAAAGGGTGCTGCCCATGCACGTGGATTCAATCTGGTTGACCTGCTGCCTAGAAAACCCAGTGCTATACAATACCAACCACTAGGCAGAGGGAAGGCTGGCCATTTACCCAGTGACCCCGAATGCAGGCTGATGGAGCTGGAACCTACGGGCTCAGCATTTCCAGACCCCTATCCCCAGGCTGGTCTCCTGGGAAAAAGGGCCCCCTGCCCTGATGTACACCACCAGACCACTAGCCTTCTGCATGCCAACCCTAACATTCTGACCCATACCCTGTTGAGGGAGGTGGAGAGGACTTCATACTGAATCCCAGCTGTGGGACAGACTCCCCTCCACTTAGGGCTGCAGAGCCTTTGGAAACTCCCCCCACCCAAACCTTCCTTCAGGGTTTGGCCCAGCCATACCAGTCCCAGCCCCCTGGCTTCTATTTGTGGCTGGCGCTGGGGAGCAGGGCCCTTATCCAAAAGGAAGATCAGGCCGGATGCAATCACACAAGAGGCTTTGCACCCTCTTCCTGACCTCTGAAGTGTTCCTTCTAATTCTCCTCCAGAGGAGGTGGTTAAAGGACAGAGAGAGTAAACAGGCGGGATGGGATGGGTCCACACACCCTGCCATTTCACCTTCAACACTAGCAGAAACCTAGGAAAGGTAGACTTCCACAGTCTGCAGGCCTAGGGGAGCCCCACCTTTTTTCAGAGACAGAAACCCTCCTCACCAAACAGGAAACAGAATGAGGGAGAAATGAGAGAAAAGCCAAGCGAGTGGCCAAAAGTACAGTTGACCCTAGCAGAAATGGGCCAGGTGGGCTTCCCCTCCTGTCACGACGCCCATCTAAGCTCAGGCTCAGAAAGCCTGGAAAATAGCTGTTATACTTTAATTACGTCCCAGCTCAGGGACAGCTTCTCCACTTAGCTTGGGCCTCAGTTTCCCCGTCTGGAACCACCCTTTCAACACTGTTATGTTCCTACCAGGGCTGGGGAAAGGAGTGATGGGGAGGGGCCCGCTGGTGCTGGGAGGGTGAGCTCACCACTCCAGGAGGTGCGTGTTTGCGGTTTGGCCCAGGTGAGCAGTGAGGTGGGATGGGAGGGCAGGTGGGAAAAGCTAACACTGAACAACATAAAGAATGCTATGCTCCCAAGTTACAGCATTGTGGGGTTCGAACCCGGATCCACATGGAGGGCAGAAACTCTTATTGAGTGCAGTTGACCGTCCAGACCCAGAAGGACCCCTACCACCAAAAACCTAAGGCCACTGCCTCTCCCATTGGCCCCAGGCCAGAGTCAAGTCTCTGACCCCCTGACTCAGCAGAGGGCACAGAACCAGGGTGAGCCTGAGGGAGAGAGGAAAGCCAGCCTGCCAGCACTTCCTGGTTAAGCCAGGTGGGTCCCTGCCCCAGCTGGGGGTCTTTCCCCGCTCAGGATGGGGCCGGCAGAGTCTGCGGGGCTGCGCAGAATGGGGGCGTCTGACTGAGCCCTGGGCTCTTCAGTCCCCTAGCACCCAGGCCCAGGGGATCAACCACTGCAACACACCGCCGACCCCCCCACACCCCCGCCCCCAGCACAGCCACCCTCGGCGTCACGGGGCGCTCAGCTCAGGTGCCGCCCAGCCGCCTTACCTCGGCCTTTGCCCTTGGCCCTCTTGGCCTTGTCGTCTGCTTTCTTGGCCCGGGGGGCGGCCGGCTCAGCGCCTTCGGCCCCCGCCGCCTTCTTCTTGCGCCGCTTGCCCCGCAGCCAGCTGAAGGCGCGCCGGAGGCCCGAGCGGGACTTCTTCTTGCGCGGGGGGCCTCCGGGACCCCCCGGGTCCTCGGCCGCAGGTGCAGTGGGGGGAGCGCGGGCGGCCATGGCGAGGCCGGGGGCGGGCGGACCAGCGCGGGGGTCAGGCCCCCTGCGGCGCGGCGCCCATGCGCGGGGGCGACCGCCACGGGAGACGCGCCCGGAGAAAAGTTTGGGCGGCGGAGGCTGAGCGAGCGGCTGGGGCGGCGCGGGAGGGGCCGGCGGGCGGGGCGCGGAGGCGGCCGCGGGCGGAGGAGCCGGGAGGGAGGGGCGCTGGGCGGGAGCGGCTCTGCCCGCTGCCCGCTGCCCGCTGCCCCTCCCCGCCGCCGCCGCCGCGGGGTCCGGGAGGGCGAGGTCCCGTCCCGAGCCTGGGTGGTCCCGGGAGCCCCCGATCCAGCGCTCTGATCCAGCCTGGGTGGGCGGGGTCGCGGGGGCTACTGAGGGTCTGTCCCGGGGCGGGACAGTTCGGTTCGGAAGAGGGGAAAGAGGAAGCAACATGCTGGGGTGGCCTCCAGGAGAGCGATTTGGGTCGGGCAGTGGATGGAAGATTCTGGAATTGTTTTCCTGGAATAAAGAATTCAGAGAATTCTTTCAGGACCCGGACGCTACTGAGGTGAAGCTTCAGAAACACCTGAAATCTTGACTGGCGACACGTGTGATCCCCTCCTAACCGAGTCGCCTCCTTGCTCAATGCCACATTTTCTTCCAGGCTCCAGCAACCCTCTGGGTTCCCGCTTCACCTGTAAGTGGGGCAATCCTTTCTCCCTTTATACCCTTGGCTAGGATTTGATTCCTCAGGGCACCAGTGCCTGGGTCAGGATTCCCACTAAGATGCTCAAAACTTATTAATTAGGATGGGCCAGGTGACAAGGATGACTGGGGAAGGTGGCAGGAAAGCAAGCCTTTAAGAATCATGGAAATGCTGTGCTCACTTCTTCCCGGCCTCTGGCTCTTTATTATAGCTGACCAAGCCCTTTTATATCATCTGATTCCACAACAAGCTATAAGGGAGACAGACAGAGCAGGGAATGTCACCCTTTATTACAGAGGGGACGTGGAGGCCAGGAAGAGACAGTGATTGCCCAAGAACACACAGGTGGTCACCCATAGAGACGCCAAGGCCAGCATCTGGTCTTATCACTGCCTACCAGCCAAATGTGTGTCTACTGCCTTGGTCTCCCTCCCTGGGTCCCTAGAGGATCTTGTGGTTACCTCTCAGTTAGAATCTCTGCATGACCAACTTGACCTGAGTCACACAGCTTCGTCCTGGTCCTGGTCTCCATGAGGGGCAAAGACCCATTTGTATGGGTCACCCAACCTAGTCAGCCCTGGCTCACTGGACACTCCACTTACTGTAACATTGCAGATGACTAGAGGGCAGAGGGTGACCTCCTCACCATAAGAGTGTCCCCAAGGGCTCAGCTGTGGTGAACCTGGGTCATCACTGACACTCCCCCCAACACACACCTGGGGTCCTAGGGCAGACCACTCCTGGTCCTTGCTGGGCCTCAGTTTCCTGGTAAGGCCATTCATTCACATCAAGCTTGCAATCCCAGAGTGTTCATTCTGGATAGGCATCTGACCCTACCCTCAGGGTGCTCCTGGCCTGACCTAGCCCTAACCCTAAGGCCCTGGTCCTCAGGGTGCTCCTGGTCTAGCCTAGCCCTAACCCTAAGGCTTCACCTCGTCCTCCCTCAGTGGGTGAGTGCAAAAGGAAGGGTGTTACAGGCAGGGCTGAGGATTGCGGAGCTGTGGATAAGTCAATGCAGGGTAGGTGGGGGAAGAGAGGAAAAACACTCTGGCTTTTGGAAGGGGTGGTCAGGAGAGGAATGTTCCTTAATTTATTCAGCACCTTCTTCCTAATGGTCGGGATTAGCTACATAATTTTCAGGGCCCTTTATTAAAAAATTATTAAGATCATGAACTTGGGGCTAGGGATGTAGCTCAGTGGTAGAGTCCTTGCCTAGCATGCAGGCATTTCTGGGTTCTGGAAATAATTCTACAAATTCCCTTATTCTAGACCCCTCCCCCCATCTCTTCCTGGACCAAACTCCAGCTCTCCTGGGTATTCCATCCCCAGTACTGAAAAAAAAAAAAAAAATAGCAGGCAATAGTAAAGCATTGGATCCAGCTGCACAGTCTTTTTGAGCAGAGGGGCTTATGTGACTGCACAGTTCCATGCTTATGAATATACTCTGCCCCCTGCCAGTGGCTCATGTAAGTAAGTTCAAAGTCTCACTTCAAACCAGAATTCCCAGCAGTCAACCCACAAATTGGATTGGATTTCTGATTCAGAAGGGAAAAGAAAAGGAACAGGAAAGAAGTTGGACACTCTCACTTCCTGCCCTCTGCCACCTCAACAGCAGCCCCAGCTTTCTCCCTTGCCCCCTGGCCTAGTGGGCAGGGATGCCTCTGGGACTCCCATCCTGTGAAGGACCAGCCTGTGCCCCAGCTACAGCTGAATCCCACCCCCTGGATTAATGATTGCTCAGCTCAGCTGCCTTTCTTCACTGACTGTATAGGCAGCTGAGGGAGCTGACTTCCCAGAAGTCCCTGCGAGCTGGGCCCAAAGTCCAACCTGAAGCCAGGCTATCACCTGACTCAGCAGGAAGTTGCCAACCTGTCCCCAGGGAGGAACCAGCAATAACCAGGCTCCAACAGCAGCCCAAGGGCTTTCCAACTTTGCCCTACTGTTTTTGGAAAGCCCAGGCTCACAGGAATCTTGACCTCACACATACCCAAACCGCTTGGAATACCTATCTCCCATAGGTGCCAGCTTTGTCCCCTGATGAGCCTGGCCTTCTCCTGCACAGTCTCTTCACTCCAAACTCAGCAAGGTGTGGCTGAGCCCCCCCCCCTCCTCATTTCGCAGGGAAAGTCAAGAAGGGAACCAAAGCTGAGCACCAGTGGCTGACGCCTATAATCTTAGCTACTTAGGAGGCAGAGATCAGGAGGATCACAGTTTGAAAGCCATCCAGGCAAGACTCTATCTTGAAAAAAACCCATCACAAAAAAGGGGCTGGTGGAGTGGCTCAAGGTGTAGGCCCTGAGTTCAAACCCCAAACCTGCAAAAAAGAAAAAAAAAAACAAAACTGGACCCAGAGTCTGGGGGGCGGGAACAAGCCACAGGTGCTTCTACCCGACCCCATTCTGGTGGGGGGAAGGGGACATGGAATCTTAGTGGAGGGCAGAGCAGTCCTGCTAAATTGAAGACCCCCAGCAAACCTTAGGAGAAGGAACCTGTGGGCCCTATCCTACAGGCAGCATTCCTGTGGCCCCCTAAACTATGGCTCCTGGCTTCTCTGGCAACCTTGCTAACATTTGAAACCACCTCCCTGCTGAGGGCTTCTTTGATCCTCCTAGTGTCTCCTAGAACCAAGCCCCAAGCCTAATTCCACCCATACACACATACACCAGAAATAACTTGCCCAGGATGTCAGTGGTGTGTGCTTGAATGGAGACACAGTTTCCAAGTTGGTTCCAGCTTGTAGGAAATTGAGAGAGAAAAGGAAAGAGGATTTGGAGAGGGAGTGAGGAGAGGTGGCTATTGCCTGAGGGTCTGCAGTGTGCATCAGTATGTGTTTCTCTTCACTCTCTAAACAGGTCTCTTCTGAGCATCAGCTCTGTGTTCCAGGCTTCAAAAGATTGATCACAGATAATCAGTGCTTACCATTACCATTCTCTCTTTCTGCACTGCTCTTCGCAGCGTCAAAAGTGGCTTCCAAATTTTCTTAACAGGGTTCAGTGGCGCATGCCTGATGCCTGCAATCCCAGTACTTAGGAGGCTGAGGCAAATGGGCCCAGGAGTTCAGGGACAGCATGAACTCCTGTCTCAAAAACAAACAAAAAGCCTTTTTATTACAGCAGTGGAACATTTTTTTCCTCCCTCAAACAAAATCCAACCCAAATTCTAATGGATAAAAGCAATATTTTCTAGGAAATTTATTTTATAAATCAAACATAACCTTTATTTACCATGAAGTAAAACAGTAGGAACAATGATGACATTTTGATGGACTGAAAATTTGAAACCCCGAATTACAGGGGGTGGTTATGGTTTTAACAAGTGCTAGTATCCAATTAATTTCTGCAGCAGGTTGTTCTAACCAGTGGATAGTTAGAAAACACTAAGTCTCCAGGCATGGCTCAACTGACAGAGTGCCACCTAGCAAGCTCAACACCCTGAGTTCAATCCTCAGTACTACTAAAAAAAATAAAAAGAAATTGTTTGTGGGGAGAAGGGAGGGGAATAGGACTATAATGGAGGAGGTGAACTTGTTCAAAGTTCACTATACGCATGTATGGAATTATCACAATGAAACCCTGTCCTATTTAATGTATGCTAATTGAAAAATTTTTTAAAAAGAAAGGAAAAGTGCCATTTGCATGAGCCGTGCATTTGAGCACACCATGATCATTGACTCAAGTGTTGAAGTGGAGTATTAATAGAACCAATTTTAGAATGCTTGCATTGTTTCCAAAAGGAAAAATAAAATAGTTTTTAAAAATGAAAAAAGGAAAAATGCTGAGCCTCATAGACAAGCATGGGTGAGTGGTAAGAGTTTAAACAACTTGATGGTAGAAATAGCAGAATTTTTTTTATCATCGTTGCTTTGTTTTTTGGTGTGGTGGTGGTCATACTGGGGAATCAAACCCAGGGCCTCGAATATGCTAGGCAAGTGCTCTACCACTTGAGCCACATTCCCAGCCCTACAAATTTTATTCTGAGGTCTGCACAGAAAGGACTAATCTAGTCAGCCTAACTTCATATCTTGTAACAAGTAAGCTCAGAGGTGGGCGCCAGGGCTCACACCTGTAATCCTAGTTTCTCAGGAAGTAGAGATCAGGAGGATCACAGTTCAAAGTCAGCCCGAGCAAATAGTTCTTGAGACCCTATTTCTAAATGACTCAAGGTGAAGGCCCTGAGTTCAAGCCCCAGTACTACCACCAAAAAAAAAAAAAACATATATATATATATATATGGATTTACATATATCCATATTCTCAAATGATTGCTGTATCCCAGAATAAGAAAAACCACATGGCACAAAAGTGCCCTGAAGCCTAAAGCTAACCTGGTTCCCATCACAGTCCTGCCATTAACTTGCTGGGTGTCCTTGGGCAAGAAACTTGTAGGCAAAGATCAGGAGGATCATGGTTCCAAGGCA